GTTTCCCCGCGGGCTCCTCCCCTTCGCCGCCTTCCGCCCCGCCCTCGCCCGTCCCCTATAAAGCCCTCCGGCGAGCGGCGGCGAGCTAGACTTCAGCTCCGCGGACAGGCGAGTGGGCGCTTCTGGTGGTTTTTGGCTGCGTCCTTCGCTCTTTAGCGCCTTGCATCCCTCAGCCGGTGGAGGAGAGGTCATTTAGGGAGAGAAACTAGCCGGGTTCTCTGGCTTCTTGGCACGTTTGCTCCGCGTTGCGATGACGGTCAAAGCTCAGGCTTCAGGAAGCGCCCTGACCTATTCCAAGATGCGAGGGATGGTGGCGATACTTATTGGTGAGTGAGAATAAATAAGAGGGGAAAACGGGGAGCGAACCCCGCAGAGATCCTGTCCTGTTTCGGCTTTGTAGGATCGCGATAGGGTTCTTCCTTCTAGGGAATTATGATGATAATACCTGGGGAGGCATTTGTAATGAGGTGGTTTGCTTTTCTGTTATTTGCAGCGTTCATGAAACAGAGAAGAATGGGGCTGAACGACTTCATCCAAAAAATAGCCACCAACTCCTATGCATGCAAACAGTAAGTGAATACTGTGGAGGGTTCCCCTCACTTCTTTTTTTTTGGAAGTTTACTGAAACTTGTGGTAACATTTCTGAAACTTAAAAAGATAAGAGTAGGCAATGATGCACCACTTAAGTAGGATGGATGCAGTTCAGATGTGGGTTTAAAATCGAAATAAAATGCCTATCAGGCAGAGGACAGACTAGATGGCTACCTCTTCTAAAATTATTACTAACCTAAAGAGGCTTGCTCTGAAGAAAGTCTTGAGTTCCCTGGGACTCACTTGGCTTGCAACTTTTAGGATCTTAAAATTATGCATAGATGTTATGATAAGGATGCATGAATTATTAAAGTTACTGTCTTCTATATCTGAATCCAAGATTGGGAACAAGGCTCTTTGAACTTAGTGGGATTTACTTTTGAGTAGTCCTAGCATTGCCCTGTAAATTGTCTACATGCCCTTCCATCAGAGATGATGGAAGTGAAATTTTCTGAGAGTTTAAAACAATAGTGTTCTGAAGTAGCTTGCATGGAGCTAGGTTACAATATTGGCTGGTGAAAAGTAAACTGGAGAATGGCACCTAGTCTAGATTTCCCGATTCATCAACCTTATCTGTAGTCTCTAACCTTTAATTACAGAGAAAGCTTTGCTCAGAAAAGGTCCTGTTTTAGTTATGAAACCTAATAAGCTGTTCCAATTGCTTTGAGTGCTTGCTAATTTGAAACTTTTGAAAAATCAAATACACTAGTGTTACTTTGCCCCCTAGTGGAGAGATATTTTTGTCCTCTGTGCAGTGTGCTAATTACTTCACCTATTAATCCCTGCAGCCCAGAAGTTCAATCTATTTTGAAGATCTCTCAGCCTCAAGAGCCTGAACTTATGAATGCCAATCCTTCACCTCCTGTAAGTAGCCTCTATTGTCTGGAGTCTTTTTAAAGAAGAGTTTAACCGGTCAGCAATAGAAATGTGTTTTAAAATAGCCTTCTGTCCATTAGCAGCTTGGCATTTGTACTCCTGTAGCACAGAACAAATTAGTTATGCAACTTGGCAAGGAGTATTTCAGGATAAATATCCAGCACAGCTGTTTAGAGGAAATGAAAATGTTACTTCTCTGTTACATTTAGAACAGGAAGTGTGGCAGACTCTTTGTTATTATTGTTGAAGAGGGTTTTTTTTGTTTCATGAATTTGAAGAAATAATTTAATGTATGCTGTGTTAGTTGAAGTCTCGCCAATTGAATTTTTTAAAAAACCCCAAAGATGCTTAGGAGTAAATGAAAAATAGTAATGTTGCTTGCGGGTGATTTAGTTACAACTATTAAGAATTCTTTTCTTCTTGTTTGTTCACTGCAGCCCAGTCCATCCCAGCAGATTAATCTTGGCCCATCATCTAACCCACATGCCAAGCCATCAGATTTCCATTTCCTGAAGGTTATTGGGAAAGGCAGTTTTGGAAAAGTAAGTTGTGCCTGCAAATGGCCCTTCTGCTTGTTACCTGGAGTAGGTCACATTGAATATTAGGAATATCAAAAACTTCCTGGTACTCAGTCAGAGCTTTGATCAAGCTAGGTCAGTATTATCTACCTTAACTAGCACTGACTGGGGGGTGGGTGTTCCAGGCAAGCGTTTTCTTGCTTCCCTTGGAGATGGAACCTGGGATCTTCTCCATGTAAGGCATGTGTTCTGCCATGGAATTACAGACCCAGATGGATTCAAAAGTGTATAGTCTAGTATTGAACAACAAACCACTTGGAGTGACAGCATCAAAGTAGAAGAGTCAAATAACAGCTGGTCTTGGGGGACGGGTTTTGGAAAACAGGGATTTGTTTACAAAATACATAGAGGTGAATTTCTTTGGATGTCAGGGGTTAAAACTGTGGGAAGACTACACTGTCCAGTTCTGTGCTTTAGGGTAATCTTATTTTAATAATGGAGTTGTTAACATAGTTCATTGTTGCCAGCCCAACAAATTGTACAGACTCATGTCACATAAAATACCTTGTTGCTTGCAGTTGTGATATGTTTCATTCCCACTATAGTTAATCACTGGATTATTTGGTTTTTTTCAGGTTCTTCTTGCAAGGCACAAGGCAGATGAACAATTCTATGCAGTTAAAGTTCTCCAGAAGAAAGCGATCTTGAAGAAGAAGGAGGTAAGTACTGAATGATAACCCTTTCGAAGACACTCTGATTAAGAGAATAATGAGAACTATTATGCAGTGGCTATATTACTGGGTGCTAATGAGTGACTCTCTCCTTCCTCAACTCCTCAGGAGAAACACATAATGTCAGAACGCAATGTCCTACTGAAAAATGTGAAGCACCCTTTCCTGGTGGGACTCCACTTTTCTTTCCAGACGGCTGACAAACTGTACTTCGTCCTAGACTACATTAATGGTGGAGAGGTGAGCAAAAACAAAAGCCCACAGAATTACAAAGGGGGAAGGGAATTTTGGAGCTGTGGGGCCCTTTTCTTAAAAAGCATATATGTAAGTCCTAGTGTATGTGTAAAGCAGCACTGTGTTGTTTCTGGAAGGGAGTTCTGGGAAGGAGTTGCTGGATTCAGTGATAATCCTTGCTTTCCAACCTCTTCTAGCAGGAAATAGCCAGAGGGTTAGGAGGCCATTTCCGTCAATTATTCCCTAGCTATATATGTTGTGCTAAACCAGAAACATTGTTGAAGGGCTTTAAGGTTGCTAACAGATCCGCCCTCCTCTGTCTCTTGCAGTTGTTCTACCATCTCCAGAGGGAACGTTGCTTCCTGGAACCAAGAGCTCGTTTTTATGCTGCTGAAATTGCCAGTGCACTGGGCTACCTGCACTCTCTGAATATAGTTTATCGGTAAGTGGGGTTTAATGTTCATTCACTTGTCCTGATCTTTTTGTACAGATGTGGCTCCACTGTGTAATAAAAGTGCTAATTAAAGGGAACTTTCTTGATTTTGCTATGATGTTAGCGGTGAGGGCTGGGGTCAGTCTAGTACACTGCTTCATAACCTTGGGTTACTCAGGAGTTTTGGACTGCAACTCCCAGAAGCCTTCACCACCAACTGTGCTGGCTGGGGTTTCTGGGAGTTGCAGTTCAAAAACATCCGAGTAACAAAGGTTAAGAACCACTGGTCTAGTACATAACCTGGAAGTAAAACCTTCCTCAGAATTATCTGTTGGTACCCATTAGTGGTCTACTCCCTTCCCTGTGGACTGAATTCTACTGGAAGGTGACCTTTAACAAAACATTGGCGGTCTCCCACTAAGGCAGCCTGTTACAGCTAGAAGCTCCTTAAAACAACTTTTATTTCGCATAAAAGTGTTATAGAGTGTAGTTTACTTTGGTGAACTGTTATTTAGAATGGAAGTAAGTGCTGAAGCAGCCTGACTGACCTTAATGTTTCCATTTTTTCTTCCATAGGGACTTGAAGCCAGAGAACATTTTGCTTGATTCTCAGGGCCACATTGTCTTGACTGACTTTGGGCTCTGCAAAGAAAACATAGAACCCAACGGCACAACTTCCACGTTCTGTGGCACTCCTGAGGTAGGTATCTGTTCTGCTTTATCCAGATGACCCATCATGCATATGCCCTTTGTGCTTGACAGTTTCCTAGACAGGACAGAACGGCATTTTGTGCTGAGTAGGTGAAGTGGACAGATTTCGATGGCTGTACCCTGTTAACACAGGGCAAAAAAAGAAAGATTTACAAACGATTGGCTTGAAAAATAGTGAATCAGAATGCTATTATAGAAAGTCTGAGAGAAATCGGCTCCCAGGTTAAACACACTGGTCAAAGCCCAGTTGCTAGTTCCAGCTAGAGCAGATGCATTGAATCAGTTGTGGAACGGTAAATTGGTGTTTGCCTAAACTTCATTCATTCAGTGGATCTGCTTGCATTGGGACTAAGCAATGGACTTGGACCACTGTGTTTTCAAAATTGTTGATCTGGTTCCTCAGGCCTCATGTACAGACCCCAGTCATCTAACAGAGGCTAAAGATTGTGGACCAGAGCTTAGACTGAGTCTTGCTATGCCGTTCAATTTCATTTTTAATCTAATGTTCCTGCTCTTCTCCTTTTCTTTATCAGTACCTTGCCCCTGAAGTCCTCCACAAGCAACCGTACGACCGGACTGTGGACTGGTGGTGCCTTGGAGCAGTTTTATATGAGATGCTTTATGGACTGGTAAGTAGAGTTCAAAAAGGACTACATATATAGGCATATCTGCAGGGTTTTCTGTATATTAGATCTACTAGCACAGGAGATGGCTAAATCTTGGTTCCATGGAAGTTGGCATTCATTGGTTTCAGTGGATCTGTGCCCTTGAGGCCATTGCATTCAGCAGGCATACAGCTGGCCTTTGTGGCTTGAGATATAACAAATTCATGTAGGCACATGGCAAAAAAGGGAGAGGTAGTATATGCCTTCTTTGGGGAAATAGTTACAGCTTGTGAAGATTATGTTTTGGAACAGTATTTCCAGAGATTCTGGGAGTGGTCATCCAAAAAAATTGTGCCTCTAATAGTAGCTACCCTCATGTACCCTGCAGTTCTACACATGAGTCAGGAAGGGAGTTATGATTTTGGCATATGATTATGGCAGCCCAAAAGGTGTGTTCCGGTAATAAATATTTCTCTACTTTCTTTCCTTCTCCACAGCCCCCTTTTTACAGCAGAAACACGGCAGAAATGTACGACAACATCTTGAACAAGCCTCTGCAGCTGAAGCCAAATATTACAAACTCTGCTAGACACCTTTTGGAGGGCCTTTTGCAAAAGGACAGAACCAAGAGACTGGGTGCAAAGGAAGACTTTGTAAGTCCAACCTTGGGACCTCGGGGGGAGGAGGAGGGGGGGCATTTCGGAAGTTGGCGAGACTGCGCCCGTCGTCTTCAATTACTCTTGTCTAAATTGATCCAATTTCCTTTTCCTGCACAGATGGAGATTAAGAATCACATCTTCTTCTCTCCAATTAACTGGGATGATCTCATTAATAAGAAGATTACACCCCCTTTTAACCCAAATGTGGTAAGTATCTCTTTCTAATAATAGGATGGGCAAGGAATGGCGTCCTTTTCTATTTATATTGGGGGAGCTAGTAGAAGTCAAAACCTAGAGATAAAAATAGCAAGAAGGGGTGTGTGTGTGTGTTTTTAAGTGTATTTAAAAGCAGTGTTGGTGTGGCCTTGAAACAGGTGGCAGATTTTCCATCAGGCATGGGAGGAGGCCTGCAAACCCACAGCTTGGTTTGCTTTCCCATGTACAGCTTTTGCAGCTAGCTGTGCTCTGTGTAAGCTTGGGGGGCAAGGGAGGAGAATCTTTAACATTTGATCTCGCAACAAATCTTAAAGGTGGGATACAATTGTTCTCTACTGGAGAACACTTGTGCTTCGAAGTCCCCCTGTGACTAGTTGAACTCGACTAGACATGTTGTAGTCTAAAGCTGCAGTGTACTTGGGCCCAGTTTTGCCCTGTTGAGGCCAGTAATGCCTCAGGCAGCAGTCCTCCTATGTCATATGTGTATTTACTCAGAGGTCTCCTTGTATTCTTTGGACCTTTCTTTCTACTACAGTGGTTCCCAACTGGATGTTCTTCCAGAAGTCCTTGCTAGCCTTGCCTGTGGTCAGGGCTTTGGGGAACTGTAGTCCAAGAACCTTTGGGGCCTCAAATTTAGGAATTTCTGCATTTGTAAATTTATTTAGGATTCCGATCCTTGAGTTCAAAGCAAACATTCATGAAATTTAAGCAGAAGTTGTTCGTTATACATACCCATTAGCTATTTGCTATTCATTGCACATGGCTTTTGAATAGTTGGGGGATATGCAACAGAGATGCCTGTAAGATTCATTGCCCTTAACAAATTCCCTCTGTGCATAGTGCTTTTAAAGGAGATGGTGAACATGTTTTCCTCAGTTTTTCAATTGGTGCTCCACTCATTGATAGCCAATGTCGTCAGCAGTAGAGGGCAGCTTTGTAGTACAGTGTCTGCATGGTCACAGGTTGCCTTACTGTGCTTGGACCTTCTGGCCTTTGTGTGAAACCAATTCGGAGCTAGTGCGGTGAGAAAGGGCATGAGAATTGTTTTGAGTTTTGTTTGTTATAGCCTGAAGTGATGGGACTTTTCTGAAGGGAACAGGTCTCTCAGGGCAGCATGATGGTGCACATTCTTCTCAGTCCACCACTGACCGCAGCAACCTCTCTCTTTGTTTTCTCAGAGCGGCCCCAACGACCTGCGACATTTTGACCCCGAGTTTACGGAGGAGCCAGTCCCAAACTCCATAGGCCAGACTTCTGACAGCATCCTCATCACCGCCAGCGTCAAAGAAGCTGCGGAAGCTTTCCTGGGCTTCTCTTATGCTCCTCCCATGGATTCTTTCTTGTGAATCTCTAATAATGATTTCTATCACTTATTCTTTTTTAAAATGACCTTCCGGTGGCCTTCTGGTCAAGCTGCCTGTTGTCTGGTCATCTTGAAAAGATTATATTTTGCACGTCTTCCCACTGTGTGGCAACTTATGCAGCCTTAATTTCAACTCTACTGCTGACATTTGCCGGAAGCGTTTTTCTCTCCCCCCCCCTTCTTTGTGGTTCTTGTTGCTGTTGTTTGTTTTTGGAAGAGCACACTTAACTCCTCTGAACTTGCAAACATTTCACTTCCGGTTGGTTCTTCCCACTCACCAAAGTGGTGCTATCTCTCCTTTGGAAGTTACGAAGAAGGAAAAAACAAAAAAAGCAATGGCTGCCATAAACTGCTGTAGATTGTAAGCGTATGAACAAACTGCTACGTGTATTATTATTTGGAGTGAATGTTCTGAAAAGCCTAGCTTGGAGATCTTGCTGGATGTGATGAGGATTTTATGAGAATGTGCCTTTTTTTCCCCCTGATAGGATCTTGCAAGCTCCAAAGCTTTTCCTGTCACAGAGAGCTTCTTGATTCACACGTGTGTGTGTGTGTATATATATCTCTGTGTGTGGGTTGCTATGTAGGCTGTGGTATGCACAACTTGCAAAAGGACTTAGAAGTGCAAGTGCAACACTTGCAGGACATTACAATGTGGGGCATTGTTTGTTCCTTCCATATTTGGAAGACAATAAATTAATGAACTGTATATATTTTTTAATTTGTAATATATATATATACATAAATATATGTATATATATTTATATAAACCTACAACATACTGTACAGTTAACATCTGAAACTCTAGGGACGGGCTTCAGTGACTTATACCCTGAATGCTTGAAGAAAGCATTGCTGCTATGGAAATATTAAAAATATTTCTATTTTTAAGAAAGGGTTTCTACGGACCAAAATGCCCCAGCTGAGGTTTGTCAAAGCTGTTGGTTTAGTTCATTATTTTTTGTTTGTTTGTCATCTGTAAAACAGGGCATTATTTATGGTTTCTAAAGAAAAATAATAATGTTTGCATTCCTGTTTGTATGTATTTGTAAAAAGACCTGTACAGTTGGTTGCAATGCTAGATGTATATCTAAAAGGACAAAGGAAAAACCTTTTAAAGGCTTATAATGTATATCATCCTTGAAATGTACTTAACATGGTTATATGTACCATTTTTGTGACCAAACCTATTGGTTTGCAATAAAATCTTTGACAATATTTCTATAAATGCTGTTTGTTTTTCCTTCACTACTCATTACAGTTGTGTCCTGTTATTTTTCTCCAGTTAGCTCAACATGACTCTTCTCCACTATACCCTCACAACAACATCCATGTCCATGACAATGGCTAGAAATCTAGCTGAGAGCTACGTAAAGATAGAATCCCTGTTTGTGGATCCCTTCATGAAACTGTCTGAGGCCTGCTCTTGTCTTCTAGTTTAGCTGTAGGCCTAAATGTAGTGTCACATGGCTGCTGTAGCACTGCCAGCAGAACAAAGCATTCCTGGCCCCCTTTCAGCATTAGCCAGTTTCCAGAGGCTTTCTCACACACCACCAGCAGGTTTTTGGGATGCAAGAGAAGAGGGTGTTGTGAAGGGTAGGCAATCTTTTCCTGCTTTTCATGGAAGCAGTATCCTTGTTGGCTGCCGTCTAAGACCAGAATTGATTATTACAAGCAAAAATACAGTGCTGCCTTGCTTAATGAGCGCACTATTTAACGACGAATCCACATAGCGACGCGTTTTTTGCAAAAGCTAATGCGATCACATTGCGATGATTCCAATGGGCGAAAATCGCATTGCGATGATCAGTGTTTCACTTACCGATCTTCGCAGTGCGATGCTCTAAAAACAGCTGATCGGCGGTTCCAAAATGGCTGGTGGAAGAATAAAATGGCTGCCCTCTCCATTTTCGCACCCTGCCCTCGCAGGTGGCCGGACGGGGAATCTTCGCTTACCGGTGAGTTTTCGCCCCATAGGAACGCATTAAACGGAGTTTAATGCATTCCTATGGGGTTTTACATTCCGTATAGCGATGTTTCCGGATAGGGACGTTAATCCTGGAACGGATTAACGTCGCTATGCGGGGCACCACTGTACTGAAATTTTCAAATGGTGGAGGCTGCAGAATCATCATCCACCATCTTGTGTAAAGTCATTTGTTCCCCACATAGTTCAAAACACCATGTGTCCCAATCACAGATCTGGGGCTGAGCAGAAGAGATATTTTTAAAAGAGCATACAGTTCTGATGATTCAAGCATATGAGTCAACATGCTAAGGAGGAAAGGCTCCCCACACTCCCACTCCTGGAACAACCTATTAGCCAAACTGATCTGTGAGGAAAGCATATCCTGGCCCAAGCAGAGCAGTGAGTCAGACTTCGAGCTCGCCATAACTAGAGGCAATTTATGTTCTTAATGAAATCGTATCTTACAAGGCAGAAGAGAATATGATGATTGCTTGAGGTCAGCAGTAGAGATGGAGAGCCTAGATTGCTGATTCTCCCGTTGCTGTCTCACAAACTGTTCCCGGTACATTCACACAGGCCTCTGTGTTCATTATGCATCATCTCTGTAAACTGGTGATGAAGTGAAGTGGAAGTTAGTCCATTGCATTGTATAACATTGGCTTCCATTCCCTAAAACAGCCTTTCAGATGTGTTGCACTGCAGTTTCCATCATCTCATACCTATCTGTGGAATGATGGGAAATTTACAATTAAGGACAGAACTTTTATAGCAATGCAGAGGAAGCTCCTGTTCCCCAAGACATTTCTTATTAGAACAGCGATGGAAAACTAACACAGGAAGTAGGTTGGCCCACACAGAACATGTGATAGAATCTTCATAAAGCTCCCAACATTATCTGCTTTTGCTGTTGTTTAGTTGTTAATTCGTGTCCGACTTCGTGACCCCATGGACCAGAGCATACCAGGCCCACTGCCTCCCGGAGTTGGGTCAAATTCATGGTGGTAGCTTCGATGACACTGTCCAACCATCTCCTCCTCTGTCGTCCCATTCTCCTCTTGCCCTCACATTTTCCTAACATCAGGGTCTTTTCCAAGGAGTCTCCTCTTCCCATAAGATGGTCAAAGTATTGGAGCCTCAGTTTCAGAATCTGTCCTTCCAGTGAGCACTCAGGGTTGATTTCCTTGAGAATAGATAAATTTGTTCCCTTTGCAGTCCAGGGGACTCTCAAGAGTCTCTTCCAGCACCACAATTCAAAAGCATCAATTCTTCAGCACTCAGCCTTCTTTATGGTCCAGCTCTCACTTCCATATATCGCTAATGGAAAAAACAGCTTTGACTATGTGGAGCTTTGTCAGCAAGGTGATGTCTCTGCTTTTTAAGATGCTGTCTAGGTTTGTCATCACTTTACTCCCAAGAAGCAGGTGTCTTTTAATT